ACACAAACATGGTAGAATCAAATCATTCCTCACTCGCAGAGTCAAAACTCATGAAATCACAAAAGTCGCAGAATCAATCGAATCAGAAATCCAAGCTTGGATTGATCGAGAATCGATTACAAATCTCACTAATCAGCTCCAACAAATCCGTTTACAATCAAATTCATCGCAATACGAAGAAGAAGAAGATGAAATTGTTGAGAAATTAACTATTTTCCATGATCGATTGAGTCAGGGCTTCAACATCAACCTTCAGGATTTGTTATTGAAATCAAAAATATTCTCCGAACTCGAATTTCTCCTCTGCTGCAACTGTAATGTGCCTCAAAAAGTGCGTGAAAAAGCCGGATATGCTTTGAAAGAAGTTGTACTTTTCAACAAAGACGTATTCGTTGGGCAAGTTCTAATAGGTCAAACAATAAAAGCTTTAATTTCCATGGATTCATTGTGTTCATTGGAAGTCTTATCTTCTCTTATAAAAGCAATTAGAAGTCCTCTTGTTGATGTAATCGAATCCGTTGGTGGAATTTCAAAGGCAATTTCATATTTAAACTCCGATGATTTGCCATTCAAGGTAACTGCGATGGATTTTGTACTTGAAATTGGCTATTTTGGGAGGAAAGAAGCTGTAGAAGCAATGTTGAATTGCGGGTTGATTAACAAATTGGTGGAATTACAGAGGTCTGATTTGGGTGGTGATTTGATCGATTTGGGAAAAGTTCACGAGGATAGTGAAGAAGAAATAGACGAAGATGAACCCGAAGAAAAAGGGAAGACGAAGAAGAAGAAGAAAAGGGGAAATAGAGAAAAGAGATTTTTGGAGAAACATCCATTTGCGAGCTGTGTAGCAAGATTTACAGTACAATTGGAAGTAGGAGAAGGATTAAGGCAAAGAGAAAAAAGAGGATTTAAACAGGAGATATTGAAGAAGATTAGAGAAGCTTGTAATACTGATGCTGAAGCTGCCACCATTGTTGCTGAGGTTTTATGGGGTTCTTCACCTTGAACTTGGTTTCAGCCGGCAAGTAAGCATGCGAGCCGCGTACATCTAAATGTTTTAACTCATCTTTTACTGTGTCCAATTGAGCACTCTAACTTATAAAATGATTATCTAGTTATCTTCAAAATTTATGTGTCACGTCAGTATCACAGGATGAACGAGACATAACGGGGATGAGTTGAAGTGTTTAGTTATGTTTGAAATCAAGTTGAAGTGTGTGTAAATGTGCATTCTCAAAGTTCAAGTGTTTGTTGGCTTGAATGCCAAATTTCAAAATTATTGTGTAAGTATGATTTTTTTTTAGAAAAAAACTATTGGGGTAATTTTTGTGGATTAGTTTTATATTTGATTGTGGTACTTCTTGTTGTTGTAAAGGGATCCTGAAATAAATTCTATAGATTTTTCCTTTAAAAAATTTATATATTTATTTTTTATATTTGGTATTCAGTGTCTATGCTAGAACTCAATTTATTTAAAGTTTTTATCTGAATTTCATGTATATATAGCTGAAATTTAGTTATTTTTACTTGAACGTTAGGCATAAATATGTAAACTTCAATCATATATAACTTCAAATAGTATATATTTGAGATTGTTATGATATAATAGTCATGCAATTTTTTTTAAAAGTACAAGTTAAATAGTAGTGTTTAAATAATATCGTTATGAAAAAAAGTCTCACAACTAGTATCAGTTATGTGAAATATAAAAGAAATATTTCTTTTTAATTATTATGTAACTCACATATAACATTTTTATTATATAAAAACTTATTTTTTGTCTCACGAAAAAGTGAACCCAAATCTTATGCTTTATAAGGTTTGTAAAATGCTTATAAATTAACGCATGGTTGTGCCAATCATTGTGTCCTAATAGTTAGATTATTTCTAAGCACTTATTAAAAACATCCCTAATATTTACTTCGTTTCTTTTTAGTTGTTTTATTGTGTTTTTTGAAAGTCAATTTAGCTCATTTTCAAAGTTACATAAGATTACATTAATATATTTAAAACTAAAAATTTAGATATTTACAAACTATAGGAAAAATACTATAAATTGCAATTTTTTCATATGAATATGATAAAAAAAAAATACATTATAAAATGTTAGTCAAAATTATTATCATTTGACTCTAAAAAAGAAAATCATGACAACTAAAAAGAACCAAAGTGAGTATTAAATAATGGAATTTCTTAGTATATTGGTTTGATTTTATTAATGAATTAATCTCAAACAAAATGAAAATTGTGGATTTTTAATAATTACTATATTGCATCTTTCTGTCCCCTCCCCTCTTTATTTATTTATATGGTAATTAGTTGCAATAAAATATATATTTTTATTAAAAAAATAAATGAAAGATCAATGGGATAACACTGCGATATATATACAAATAGACAGGTGGAGAAAACACTAGCAAAGATAAATACGTAATTATTATTTAATTGGTTATAAGAGATAACAAGTTATCTTGACTTCGTGTTTTCTTTATTTTTTTCTAACTAATTTGTAGTGCTTTTACTTGAATAAAAAATCTATCAATTTTTTTTTCTATCTAAACTTAAGAATAAAATTTGCATAGGTACACTATTTTCTTCGATCTCATGAAATTATACAAAGTATGTTTATTATGATTTATTTGTATTTTATGAAGTGAAATCGAAGGTCAAAATAGTCAAATATCCCATGTAGCAAAATGGGGACAAGACGTGTGGTTTATAAAGAGTCCTTTCGTATTTTGGGAATTTTGAATGATGGATTTCTTGTTTCTTTCATTATAATTTTGGGAAACTTTTGCAAATAGTCATTATAATAAATTTAATTATGCTCCATAGCTATAATTTGCATATTTACGGGCTGTAGCTACGGTTTAAGCTGTCTCGTTTATATAATTCACAAATTTGTATAATTCATAGGTTTGTATAATTTGCGGGTACATTTGTATAATTCAATTATTTTTGTATAAACTCAAAATAATTAACGACTTTATACAATTACAAACATCAGAAGTGTAAACAGTTATACAAATTATATTATACAAATTTTGAATTATACAAAAGTTATACAAATTTCAAATTATACAAACGTGCGAATTATACAAAACTAAAAAGCTTAGCCGTGTAATTATAGCTAAAAGTAGATCGCGAATTATAATTAAGGCAAACTATAGCTATGTTAACTAATTAACTAATATATATTTGCTTATACGCGTAATTTTCCCTAATTTATATGACGTGCAATTAGAGGTGTTAAATGTGTGAGTTAGATCAAATATGAACGAGTTGAAAATGAGTTAGTATAAGATGTTTCTCAACGATGGCGGCAAAAATATTTAAAAATCAACCAAATATGAAAAAAATGATAAATATTCATCTATATCAAATACACTCTAGACATTCCCTCACTTTTCATATTTTACTCATATTTACTTATATTCATTTGGGTTAAATATTAATCGAAACTTAAATTTTATCGATTAAAAAAATTATTCCCAAAATATAAGCTGATTAGATAGATAATAAAATATGAGCTCATTTTGATAGCACTACGTGTGACCAGACAAAGAAAAAAAGAGAAGAAGATAAAAGGCATATTGCATGAATATTCTCTTAATATTTTTCTTTAAAAGTAATAAAATTGACTAGCATTATCGAGACTATTTTGGTATTTATATGCTTGTCATACTTTAATGGGAAAAATGATAAATATATCCCGAATTATCATAAATGGTATGCAGATACCTTTCGTTATATTTTTGGGACATTGATACCCCTACAGTCCAAAAACTAGAGCATATATGCCATGCACTCTAACGGAAGACTAAATAGGGACACGTGGCGCAATCTTATCCGTCGATAAATATTGGATCGGTGGATAAGATTATGACACGTGTATATCCGTTAGTATAAAGAGTATATATGCTGCAGGGGGACCAATATCCTAAAAGTATGACGGAGGATATTTGCATTCCATTTACGATAGTTCAGAATATATTTATCCTTTTTTCCTACTTTAATTGACTAATAAAAAAAAATACGCGCATGTCTTCACGGCACTAATTAGTATAAGAAATTGATGATATGGGAGGAAGCTACCTGTATGAATATAATAATGGAAAATTGCTGAAGTCATTTTTTTTTTCTAAACATCATTATTTCTATTGACTATTGGAAGAAAAATATTTTTTAATACAGTTATATACATATTTCAAATAAATTATATACATGAAGCTATCGACAAGATTCGAAGCTAGATTTTGTATATGTTTTTGAAATAAAACTTCTAGAAAAAAAGGCCACACCTTTCATCGCAATTTAAGTGTATTGGAAGTTTTTATTAAAATAAAGACGTTTGAATCTGAATGATCGAACGGTTTATTTTTCAACATTTGAGTGCATAATTTATTTACTTTTAAATATAATAAATATATTTTTCAAATAAAAAATAGTAAGATATTAGAAAAAAAATGTTCATTTAATAAAATTACATTATTATTTGATTAAAAAAATATTGTGTTTGCTAGTAATAGTGGAGATGATTTGATATGGTGTTGGTGGACATGGTTTGTAATGATAGTAATAGTGATGATTGGTGGTAATGGCTAGTAATAATGGTGGTGATAGTCGTGATGTTGCAGATGGTTAGTGTTGTAGTGACTAACGCCAATTGGTGGTGGTAGTTGTGATGGGAAAGTTTAGTTGTTGTTAGTAGTTGACGGTGGTGACTAAATAATGTGTGATAGTTGACGATATTGTTGATGACAGTTAGTGGTAGTGTTAGTTGTAATGGTGGAGGCGGCTAGTAATAGGAATTAACCACCGCAGTGACAGTAGTGGCTGATAGTGTCGTGGTGGTGATGACAATGGTGGCGATTGATGGTGATAGTCGTAGTGATGAAGTTGATCGATATGAGTAACTCTATCCACCAATACAGATACGAGTAACTTTATCCACCAAGACTCTGTGAAAGAGAAAGATGGATGCTATTGCTCAAAAGAGCACAATAAATCATCTAATACTAGAAAATGCATTGAAAAAAGATCATCCTTCTGGCATCACAACTAGGATCCTGCTAGCTTTTTTCAAGCTAATTATTACAAGATCTGCAGAAAACTTTTGTATGCTCTTCTAAGTTACTCTACTATACAATTATTACTCAGATACAAAACTACTACAGTCATCTCAACTTTACCAGACACCAAAAAAAGAGTGTCTTTTTACCTATCCTGGATTTGATAAAATTGATCAAACGACAACGAAAACATATCAACCTTTGCTTGTTGCCATACTGCTTCACGGAAAATACCATAATGTGGAAATCAAACTCTTCGGTAGCTACTACATTTCTTGACATACTTCTTGAAAGCCTAGAGAGGCTGGCACCTAAGGAAAAATTTAGTGGCCTACTTTGAATCGAAAAGAAAAGTTCATCTCGCTTCCAGAGAGTCTTCAATAAGTTGGTCATTTCTCTTTCTGCGCAGCAGGGCTCTTGCAATGGAGAAAAGTGCGATAAAAGCAATTTCCATGCGCTCAGAGCTGCTTGTCTTGATGGAAACCTGGCCCATCTTTCGGTTATTGAGGTTTGCACTCACTGACATGTTTGTACCTCGGCTCACTCTGAAGTCAGTTTGTAAGTTTCCGCTCAACACCATTTCTTTGTTGAGAGAGAGAACTGTCATCGAGAGACTCAGACTTTCGTTTCTCACTGGATAATCCCTTCCTCTTAAAGTAGCTACAAAGCTCCCGCCATAGGCTGCTTGCCCAGCACCCCCCATCCGACCAGCATTCACATTAAACTTCAGTCTCTTTCCAATTGTAAAACTGTCTTCACATTTGGCACCAAGAAAATACTTATCCCCGAATGGTATTACAGAAATACCGCATTCAGTGACATTAGTTCTTAAATTTCTTACCTTTGCATTACTGTGGATAGTGCAGATCAGTTCTTTATTGGCAGATTGAACATCAAGACCAACCGCATAAGTGGGCCCACCTGGATTGGTGAAAGCTGCAGCAAACTCAGATTGAATACTGAAGTCTTGTTTGTCCTTGCTCATTTGTCCATTAACCGAGGCAAATATGTTTTTTCTTATTTCTGCACTGCTCTCGAGGTTAATTCCATCAAAGCTCACATCATGGTCCCATCCATTGGGATCAAGGACTGGTCTTGCAAGCCACTGTTCACTGGTGATGAGACACCTGTATCTGTGGATAGGGCAATCTGAATCAAAGCTTGGAGGAATAGCCATATCTGGCAAGAGAACTGGCTCTGGAGGGCCCTCCTGCTGGTTATCAGACTCATCATCCGGGGCTGCTTTACCCTCACTTGAAGAAACTCTCTTTTCTCTTTGTCGACGAGCTTCTTCTATCAGTTGTTTTTTCAAATAGAGGGTTTCTCGGTAGTCTAGTTCGTCAAGATAATCCTTCTTTTGGGAACCACTCAACCTTCCAAACTGAGACTTGGTCAGTATCCGAATAGGAGGTAACTGATCATATTCGTCGTCTTCATCATCTGAGACTAAAAGAGAAACCTCATCAATTTCATTCTCAGCTCCGCTGTGTCTTATCTGGGCACGATGCTTTAGAAAGGATGAGAGAAGATGCGGAAGAGAAGGCAATCGTCCTACATTTGATGGCCCCACCTTTAGGCTGTCTTCAAAGTCCAATAGGGTATTAACATCACTTAGAACTTTGGTGCATATGCACAACAATAATAACTGAGACTTCCACACCTGCCCATTAGGGAGAATCTTCTCTCCAGCATTATTGGTCTTACAATTGGGATCATTCTCCACCAAAATTACAGGATTTTCAAGCTTAGTGTCAGAGACTGCCTGGTGAATATAATGTTGGACCAAATCTGTGCAGGTGGTGACAAAAGATTCATAGTTAACAGGATATCCGTTTGTTCCTTCGCGAAGATTGAAGGAAGAATGAGTCATGACAAGGATAGTATTAAACCAAATTGCAGGACCAAAGACTTCCGTTATAAGCTTCAACAAGGGGAAATCACTGTAGCCCGTGTTGATCAAATCCAAGCGCTCAAAATACAGTACCATATCAGGCGTTTGTTTCCTTAAATATCGTTTCACAGAATGCAATATCTTCTTGTTTTTTCGGATATTACTGGGTGAGGGAGGCAATAAACCAGGAGTGTCAATAAACGATACTCTGATGCCATTTACCGTTCCCACAATCTCTTGAATATGGTCAGTAGCAGGCTTGAACGCGTTGGTTGCTGCTCTTGATTGGTCAAAAATGGAATTTATGGTTGAACTTTTGCCAACTCCAGTTCTACCCAGTACAAGGATCTTAAATGAGAAATCCAGTTGTGGTCGGCCAGCAGCTTCTTGTTCTGCTGCTATTACACGGGCTCTCTCAATTTTAAGATTTGCCCTTTTTAAATCCGATTCTCTAGCCCGTATCAGTGATGCCAGCTGGATCCGGTATAAGACCTTTGATACCAGAAGGTTGTCCTCGGACAGGCCAAAACGTTTAAGAAGGCGCAAGAATGTAATCTGAAGGGCTTCAATCTTTACCACTGGACTAGGTTTCTCATCAACCCTAAAATCCGACTGAAAAGAATCTTCGCCCATCCGTTGTTGTGAATGAAAATTATTTGTATTCTCTGTATGCTCTTGATTATCATTGGAAGATTGTATTGTATTGTCTATTCTAGTTGTTGTAACCAAATCAGCAGTGTGAGCTGAACCAAAAGAAGAAAAGAATGTCATCAACAATTTGAGACAACAGCGATAGATGTGGAGATCAACAGTCAATTAATTAAAATAGCGAAGTGCATATGGGCTAGCATTATTCTACAAATTCATAAAATTCTTCCAAAACTATCCACTATCCAGTTAACTAGTAGAACAATAAAGTCCAAAAGGATATGCCAAAGTAAGATGCTATTTCAATTGACACTAACTAGGGATCCTAACATAACAACCTTTACGACCATTACAGGATCTGCATACAAGCACGCTCCTATCAACAGATAAAACATTGATACATGGTTTTATTTGCTGTCATTATCTTTTACACAAACCAACAGTAATTCTGGTCTTTTTGTGCTTCTTTTAGTTTTCGAATGACTTGATATTCTTGGGAATGTATTACTTACCAGAACAAAAGAAAGTGCCTAACCCATTGAATGTGTGAAATGTGCCTTAGAAACAAAATTTTGGAATTAATAGCAGTCCCCAATGAACCGTTGCACTTTGGATGCACACAAATTAATGGTGTACTTAAATAATTTTGATAAAAGGTCTACATAAATAACACACACAAAACCATGTAATGATGATAAACAAGGAATGTAGGACTCTTTTTTTTATTTAAAAAAACGATTGTGATGACTCTCTTTCCCTCCCTCCCTCTCTCTTGCCTTCAACCATTCCCTCGGTAAAAATACAAATAATTAAATAAATAAGCTACTTCACATCGAGAGTTGAAAAAAAATCTCCCATCTCTACAAGTACTTAATTATCTTGTTATTTTTCTTTCTAATAAATGCATTTGATTAAGATGTTTTCAAAATATGTACTTCCTCTGTCCCAATTTATATGTTTGACAGAATTTTGTTAATACACAAGCCTCCCAAATTTCAAAAATTTAACTTTGATGTTGTGTTTTCTCAATCAAACTGTCTTTTTCACAATTATTTATTTTCTGTTACTATCACTAATATAATATATATGTCACATTTTATATCTTAAACTCCAGGACTCGAGTACCATAATATAAAGAAGATTACAGGGGGTGCTAGGCATCCGGAATCTGGGAGTGGGTTCATATCAAATATCAATTGGTTTTACTCTCGTACTCTAAAAACTCTTCAAAAATGTCAAGGGGTGTGTATCGGATTGGCCAAAAGTAGTGTATTTTTGGAGAATCCGACACGGGTGCGGCATCGAAAGTGAAGAGTCCCCGCAACTTAGCTAAAATGTGAAGCATGTAGTAATTGTTAAGCTGAACACAGTATTTGTGATCAACAAAAATCAAAAAATCACTTTTGTCTATATAATCAACACAATAATAGTAGAAATGTAGTGCACCCAAGGGTGTGCCCTAGTGGTCAATGAAGTGGGTTGAAAACCACGAGGTCTCAGGTTCAATTCCCAGTGTAGCCAAAAAACACAAGGTGATTTCTTCCCATTTGTCCAAGCCCAGTACATGTGCTGATGAGAGAAGTAGCAAGTACCCCGTGGAATTAGTCGAGGTGTGCGCAAACTGGCCCGGACACCACGGTTATCAAAAAGAGAAAGAACGGTAAAAATGTAGTAAACTAATGAAATAGAAGAGCCTTGTTACGCTTCTAGTAGCAAACTAGTTGATTTCGCGGAAGATGTTATGACTGATTTGCAGTGCCCAATGATATTAACTATGATTATATAGAGTATAAAGTAATAGATATCTCTTCTCATTCAGCCAAACAAGAACTCATTAACTCACCAATTTGTAGCCTAGGACCATTTAGATTTATTTCTTTCTATAATGTAACAAAACCATAAAGCCTAAAGTAAAATAGCATTACCTTAAAAGGAAACAGTTTAAAAGTTTAACAATTAGCTACTTGAAAAAGTTATGCATGTACTCCTTGTTGCACGGGAGGGTAAAATTTGTAGTCAGAAAGCATAAGATGGGATAATGTAGAACATCATTCAAAAAACCAAGGAAACTCTGAAATAGATTTTTCACTTCTACACTACAATTTCTATTGCTTATTTTAAAGAGAAACGAACTCATAATTCTGTTGAGTTTCTTTTAAATAGCTGTAGATCTATCTTCTAAGGGCTGAAAAGGTAAACCATCTAAGCAGTAGCAACAACAACATACCCAGTGTAGTCCCACAAGTGAGGTTTGGGGAGGGTAGAGTGTAAACAGACGTTACCCCTACCTTGGGAAGTAGAGGGTGTTTCTGATAGACCCTCCCCTACCTTGGGAGGTAGAAAGACTGTTTCCCATAAACCCTCGGCTCAAGGAAAAACATTACAAAGAAGGTCGAAAAAGAAATGGCGGGAGTGAAGAAGTCATGGCAAAATACTATAGAAGTATGTCTAAGCATTCTGTGGGGAAAAAAAGGAAATGTAACTACAACAAAATATTAAGATAATCGAAGTGCAAGAAACAACAAATAGTACCAAATATTGAAGGATAAGTAACTACAGGAGTAATACTACTACTACTAGTATGGAAAGATAAGCGAGACAACACAATACACACTACTACCTACTAACCTACCACCCTAATCCATGTCCTCCACAGTTTCCTAACTAAGGTCATGTCCTCGGTAAGCAAATTACATAAAATTCTAGCATAACCCAACTTGAATCCCAAATGCAGGAAAAGTAATTTAGTTCCCTTTTTATTTTTAATATAATCTACAATCGTTTCTTGTTCCTTGCAACTTTGAAATGGTCCTAAATAGGGAAATACATTGTGCCACTAAATTTCTGCAACTTCCTCTATTCTCAATATGCATCACTACCTTGTGAGTCTTGCCCAATGAAAACCACCAGCAAGCACGCAACTGTCACGCCCAAGGGTACTGAACACTATAAATACAGCTCATATTATTCAGATCAACATGACCCTTCGGGGTGGCCCAGTGGTTTGGGCTTGGGACTTCCATGTTGGAGGTCTCAAGTTCGAAACCCCTTGCCAGCGAAAGCAAGGGGTTTGCCTTCTGGGTCGAGCTCGTCGCACCAGGCTTGCCTAGTGCGGGTTACCTCTCCTATGTGGTTTGCGAGCTATTGCATAGGAGCGGGGGTTTTACCCTGTGCGCACCCAAAGGGTAGCGGCTGCGGGTTTCCCTTATCATCAAAAAAAAATTATTCAGATCAACATGCTATTACTTTTTGTAAACCCAACATGAATAGATAAACAAAAAGAGCTACCCACTCTTTGAACTTGTCAGAGTACCTAAAGCTGATATAGTGGTCAAAAACTTGATTCAACCACCAAAAAATTTGTTTCACCTGTTAATAGAAACTATAAAAGAAAACCAAATATCAGGGCATCTCTCACTTTATAGCATAAAAACACTACTTCTTGTGTAAAACTTCAGAAGATCTCTGTTTAAGAACATAAAAGCAACTTCAGCTGGAAAGTCTACATCAAGCTCCATCAAACAAATTAGACATGCTTTAACTACTTTGTATACCCAAGAATGTACAGCAAAAACCAACAACGGAAATGTTGAAGCTATAAGACAATCAGAAACACCGTTGCCATGCTAACATGCAGCCATTATTCCAATGAAATAGCAAGAAATTAGAGGTGAATTATTAATCATAGTGCATGAAGGACAATTACCTGGGTGGTCAAACCCTTGATCAGGATGCTCCTCTGATAAAAAGTTATCTGATGCTAAAAGTGGTCTTGACGAGGCTACTGACTTGGTTATCAACTGTGACAGGACCCAGTCCTTGAAGCTCATCATGTTTCCTGCACACAAAAGGACAAGGATTATCACAATTAATGCAGCTTGCCCCTTGTAGTATAAGACTTTAGGTGGCAACACCAACTGAAGATGTTCATACAATTGCATCATAGAAAGAATGCAATAGCATGCACCAATAAATAGACTACAGAGAAATTCTTATATTAAAAATCGTGATTGGACCTGTCTGGTAAAGAGAATAATCTAAAGAACAACATACCCAGTGTAGGAGGGTAGATATACCTGAGCTTACCACTAAGACAATGTTCAATTGGAATGTGAATGTGTGACTTAGTTAGTCCTAATTACTTTTCGGGGTGAAGTGAAGAAGGGGAACTCTCGAACTGCTTGAATAAGAACACTACCTCAAGATGATTCCAGGATATTTCAACCAAATTACTGGACCAAATATGGAACAAACCAAATATGGTGATTCACCATCTATTGATCAGTTTACTTCACAATATCAGTATCATAGTTTCACTCTATTGTTTCACAGTTGCAGAAATGCCAAGTAAGGCTATGTACAGTACGCTCAATGTGCTCCATCCCTTCCTTGGACCCCGCACATAGAGGGAGTTTAATGCACCAAGCTTACCTTTTAATATTTCAACTTGTCATCTATTTGATGAGTGATATTTCCTACATAAACCATACCTACGTGGAAGTTTGCGAAACATCAACCAAGAAAAAAATAAGAATACCTAGTTTTAATTTAAGATGCAAAAAAAATAATCTACAGTCCTTATTTATGCCTTTTCCTTAATCAAACAAGATAAACAACACCACCAAGTGAACTATGCTTTCTAGATCAAGGCAGCTTTCTGAAATAAACTTACAAATTAACAAATACAACAACAATAACTATATCTCAATCCTAAACTAGTTGATCCTAGCTTTATGAATCTTTAAATATTTAAAAATACATAAAAATCATCAATTTCCTTCTGCATGTCAACATCCAGGAAAACAGGAAAGAGTTAAGAACACGTGGTCAAATACATACCTGGTTAACACTTACTTCCCATCAGCATTGAAGAAGAGCTTCAAAACTACAAAAATGACCCAAAAATTAGCAAAGTACTCGTGAAACCCAAATCCCAGACCAAGAATCTACCTTTTTATGGTTTATCAACTGAATTAAGCAAAACCCATTTCAAAAAATCAAAGATAAAACAAATCCCAGATGCTAAAAACTGGAAAGAACTCCAATTCCAATTCAAAATAACAAAACCCAGATGCTAAAAACTGGTAAAAACTCAAATTGCAATTCAAAATAACAAAGCCCAGATGCTAAAAACTGGAAAGAACTCAACTTTCAATCCAAACTAACAGAACCCAGATACTAAAAACTAGCAAAAACTCAACTTTCAATTCAAAATAACAAAACCCGGATGCTAAAAACATGCAAAAACTCAAATTTCAATTCAAAAAACAAAACCCAGATGCTAAAAACTAGCAAACACTGACAAAACCCAGATGCTAATAACTGGCTAGAACTCAAATTCCAATTCAAAATGCTACAAAATTTTTTAAAAAAAATTGAGTATATTCATGGCAAAACAGAGAATATAGAAATTGGGAATTTTTTTTATACCAAACTTATGATAGAGTTCAAGAATTGGGTTCTCGTGGATCGAAATTGATTGTGAAGAGACCAAGTTTTTTTTGGTTTATGAGATAAGACACATGATTTTGTTGTAGTGATTCTCCGCCCTAAAATATAATAATTCCCACATATGATTTTTGTCTTTTGTTTTTCATTATTTTTTTCCTTTTTTCCATCTTGAAGAAAAAATAAATAATAAAAAAGGAAAAAGTTTAAATTTGTTTTTGAACTATGATAAGTTATTCAAAATTATGTTTTGGTAATAGTGATATTGGAAGTAAATTTTAAAGTTTTATCTTTTAATGTTTGTTTGTCGAGGGTTGTTTTGCTTTCCGAGGATTTAGGTCTTGTTGATGTTTGTCTTTGTACTAGTTGTATTATTGTAGCTTCTTGATTTTGATACATGTTATTGTATGTTGTTTATTGTGTTTTGATTATTGCACTATTTTGTTGTTTCTCGTTTTTTTTTCTTGTAGGTTTTGAATGGGTTCCTTTGTTAGTTAATATGTTCTCTCGTTTTTTTTTCTAGTAGGTTTTGGACGGGTTCCTTTGTTAGTTATATGTTCTCTATATTGTCTGCTTCTTCTTTGTATTTGGATTTGCTACTCCTTGAGCTGAATGTCTTTCAAAAACACTGTTTCTATAGGTACTGTTAAGTTTACTTACACTCTATTCTTTCCAAACCCCACTTGTAGATTTCACTTTTAAATAAGAGTTCGAAGTGGTGCTATGAAGGTGAGATGTTGTATGTTGGAAGGTGGTGATTGCTAGTTATGAAACTTGTTTTCTCTATTCCTGTCGGGAAGATCATTTTTCTCACTGGTAGGTTTTGGACAGGTTCCTTTGTTAGTTAATATGTTCTCTCGTTTTTTTTTCTAGTAGGTTTTGGACGGGTTCCTTTGTTAGTTATATGTTCTCTATATTGTCTGCTTCTTCTTTGTATTTGGATTTGCTACTCCTTGAGCTGAATGTCTTTCAAAAACACTGTTTCTATAGGTACTGTTAAGTTTACTTACACTCTATTCTTTCCAAACCCCACTTGTAGATTTCACTTTTAAATAAGAGTTCGAAGTGGTGCTATGAAGGTGAGATGTTGTATGTTGGAAGGTGGTGATTGCTAGTTATGAAACTTGTTTTCTCTATTCCTGTCGGGAAGATCATTTTTCTCATTTTTGAAAAACTTCTTTTAAAATCAAACATAAAAAAATTGAAAAGCGACCAAACACACACAAAGACATCTATCCAAAACCATTGAAACTTGATTATCCAAGAAAAAAGACATGAAAGAAGAAACATGTTCCTTCTCATTTGAAGTTGCTATTACTATTATTTATCTATGGTTAGCCACAAAAAAATAGAAAGGTTACACTAATTATCTCTTTTGCAAGGGATAATATTTTTTGTTGCCAAAATTTCCTGAATGTAGGAGAGTATGTGTGCCTTGTTAAAATTCAGGCTAAGATTACACTCCAACTGAGAATTGAAAACTCAAAGCAGCAGCAGCAGCAGCACCACCACCACTGTGGAGCAAATAATGTCTACATATCGCGAGCTTACAGGTGATTTCAATCTGGCGTTGCTGCATTGGTACTTCGCGAGTAGTGAGTTTCCTTCTAGCTAACCTGTTTTTCACTAGCCTTGTAGTAAAGCATTTTCTGCACATAGAACATCATGTATCCTTGTGCAGCTCTAACGATGTTCTCACTCACCTGAGTGATCCAAGCATCATCGCATTTGTACCATTGATTACTTAACCTCAGATATGTTACGTAATGACCAGCATCAAGTTTACCGGTATGGGTGATGACAGCAAACAACTCAAATTCCGAGGATGATTCACAGGATGTGTCTTGCTCGTCCCCTTCAAAGGAGAAGATTCTATTTCCAAATCGACTCCTCAAGATAGACGAAGAGAGGTAAGGCGACATGTCCAATGAAAAAGGAAACTGTAGGTAGTGATCAACCTTCCTCGACATTTTCTTAATCACGGAATGCTCAAACCGTTTGATATGGAAGCAAGAAACCAGAGGCAGTTTTCTTATGGACATCTGTTTAAGAGATTCCTGTCTCACTTGACAATGTTGGCAGAAGAACTTTTGATCAGAACCCAATTTCTCAGGTCTTGTAAAATGATCTAAACATCCCATCAATGTAGAAAGTCGACCATTTTGGCTAGACTTTCCGGGTTCTGCTTCTTTTTTCTTGTGAGATTTATGAGACTTCTTTGATGTCACCTTTGCTGAAGTCCCCTGGCTCAGTTCCAAGTCCAAGGAGATGTCGATGCATGGATCATATGTAGTAGATGTGAAGCCACAAGCTGTACACATGACATCAGACCGCAAGATTCCAGAAAATACTCTGTGAGCAATGCAACAGTCTCCGCTGCCTGTGCCAAAGAAAAAGATTCGGTAAATAAGATGAAAGATCGCAGATGACAAAAGGAAATGAGTACTCCAAACAAGTTACGTACGTAACACATACTTCAATATACACTGTTTTAAACGTTCAACACACTTTATAAAAAGCAATAGGGCCCTAGTGACATCATAACGTTTTATGAGTTATTGCTAACAAAACAACAAGGGTCCTATGAGGAAAGGCAATCAACACAAAGTGTAGCTTAAAATTAATATGGTCTTGCAAGGCACATTTTTTTTCTTGAAAGCTCTAATATTTAGAACTATAGGCTATAGCTCCTTGTGCACAATATCTAAATGCTAAATAATGTGAAGTGTGGACAATCTATTACCTCAATTCTAGCTCGTAGCCTCGTACTAATCTTAATCCTCTAATTTAGAGGAACGAGTGTAGGTCTGGATGTTTTTTAATCATAGTGCAGGTGACTTAATTGAAATTAAAGTACAACATTACGATATCACAAATGAATTGCTGCTAAAGAGTCACCCCTCTAATGATTGCTCTTCTAAAGAAATGCAAGGAACCAAGAGATTAGACCCACAAGAATAATATGACATGGGGGCTAAAGACAATGACAAAGCTTTCTTGAAGGTTTACCCTAAAACATGGTAAAAGTGCGAGTTAATACGAGAATTATTTAGTAAAAGATAACTCCTATTCTGAAATAAAAAAAACTAACCAAACTGAGACTTACTCGGGAGAGTAGGAGGAAATCTTTTTGCTTTTGTGAAACATCTCTAAGCCTGATAGCAAATATCAACTGGTATATTGCCTATGGCAAAGAAAGGACCTAAACCACAACCTGCAGTCAAATGTTACTATCCTTTTTCAGTGACGAAGGAAGTATGGATCGCCGTGAGAGAAGAGATTCTAGAACAACAAAGATAAGCCTATCAAGTAGATCCTAAGTGCCTAACAAGATGCTTGAATACATTAATCTACTTCCGACAGAAATTGCCACTTCCACCCCCTCCTCCTACTCCCAAGAAAATTTCAACAATTTCACCTGCTTAGGTACCTTGACTTTTGCTGTAACTAATCCACTTAGTTATTTGAGGTTTTTAGGTTTATGTTATTATACTTTATTACATTACATATTACAACAACATACCTAGTGCAATACCACAAGTGGTTAATTCAGGTCAATTTAAAACAATGATAATTTATAAAATATAGAAACTTTGCAGCTAACAAAGGTTATGAAATATAAGGCTTGAAAACCCAAAGCAACTTTTCACTATGTCATCAATTATCATGACCAAGATTGAAGACTTCTCATATTTAACTCTATTACTCAAGCATAATACAGTAAGAAATTTCTTAGTGAAAAACGAGAAAATTTGCAAACAGTGTTCTTACGGCGGCTACACCAAGGCCTGAAGGACCACACAAATAATTGATCAGGTACTTTATCTCTTTTATAAATATTAAAATATTAGGTATTAGGGGTTACGTTTCTCCAACAGATAATTTTTTTTAAAAGAACTTTTTACATTGCTTATCACAAATTTAAAATAGCCTGATAAGCATCATGGACAAGCAAGAACTCATGTCAAGGTCAAATATGCATACAACAGAATAGGCTACAAAAATGCAAGAGTCGAAAAATAGGGATTTTGGGTGATGGGGGAGAAAAGATGGGAAACTAACAGACTCTACCGCAACAAATAAATTTACCTGGACTTGGGCCCTTCCCCTTATCATTCTGCATTGTTTCATGAATCCCATCAAGCACGGAAATGAAAAACTCATGAGCATCCTGCTGTTCATAACTTGCAAGATTTGATGCATGCTTCCACCAGCTGTTCGGGAGAAAATTTTACATCCATCAAAATCAGATTTAGTATAGGGCTGCAACTACATACTCAACAAAAATCTACATCCAATTAAACATAATACATCTGCATTATATCACAACCAACCTACACACCACTGGCTAAATCTCACTTTTACGAACAGAAAAGGGTGATACATACACCGCCAACATTAAGAATTTGATCTTGTCCCAATATCATTAGTAATGAAGAGTACAACCAAGCTAAATTAATGAACCATTGGAATTTAGAGGTGGACCCAAAATTTAAAGCCAATCAATTGACAGCAGGTGTAGTCTATTATATACATTAACAACATATTACGCTGACCTTACTCCTGCCTTTAAAAGAAAAAGAGACCGTTCCTGATAGACCCTTAGCTCAAAACAGATGAAAATGACAGACAGCAGCAACAAGCAGGCAAACATATTTACATTATTTAACTTTTTCTTGCAGACATATAAACGGTTTTAGCCGAAGGCACCTCTATTCTATGCAACCATACCATAGTTTCTACAACAAAGCCAAACACAATCTCAATAAACCAACAAAAGACGACTAAATGCAAACCTGTAGAGGAACTTTGCTGGACTAATAGGGGTCTGATTGCCAGAGAAAACCGCAGAAAACACTGCATCCAAATCACAAGCCAAACACAACACAGGGTTCTTGTTTGTATTATCACTACTTCTTGTTACGATAGTACTATTCTTTCGTTGGCAAAAATATCTATTATGTTTATCACTTAGAAAGTAATTCCTCAATGGTGGTGTATGAAGCAATGCTTGAAGTACTGAGTTCATAAAACAAGTGTTTCCAAGATTGTTAAGTCCCCTCAAACCCCATTGTACTTCTGGGGTTGTTGAATC